GCAAACTCTTAATAATAAAAGTGACTGGTGACATTTTCAGTTCAGTGTCAATCTTGACATCAAAGCCAAAACTCCTTACATGACTTTTTGCTGTTACTTGTTTGATGTGTGTTGTTGGCTTCAGGTACAAGAAAAGATGGAGAGGAAACTCTACAGTCTAAACTCTAAACTCTATAGAAAAGAATGATAAACTTTATTTTTGAAAAGAGACAAATGAAAACATTGATCAGAATATTATTATTACATTCCAAAAAGAGAAATCTATACTATATAAAAGTCGAGGCCATAAGCTTCTGAGGCTGTCCACGTGGGATTTTAAACGACCAATCATGGTTGCACATGTCATTAATTAGCATTTTTAGCTATCATATTAGTTAACATTTTTTAATTATAATATTTTCTATATTAAGATATTTATGAAAAGGAAAAAACAATATATATGTAAAGAAGAGAATGTCAAATGTTTGAAAAAAACATATGATTTTTTTTGGGTTTAAAATGAAAAGGAAAAGGCTAATAATGAAAAGGAAAAATTCTACTTAACAAAAAAAAGGAAAAAAAAAAAAACAAGAAGGTTTCTAAATGCTAAAGCATTGGTTTTATGTATAAATATCGTTCTATAATTTAGAATGGAATACAGAAAGAGAATAGTTTATATTCTTGAAAAAAAAGGAGAGCTTAAAGAAGAGGGTCTAGGTTTAAAGGATGAGCGAGATGTTATTTTTTACTCTGACCATCAAACTGAAGAAGCAGCTCAACCTCAGTTTGTAGAAACCTTTGAAGAAGAAGATCTAGGTTTTGACTTTGGGGATGAACAAGAGCTTAACTTTATCTATGAAGAAGCAGTTCCATCTCAGCTTGGAGAATTTTTTTTTTTTGAAACAAAAGCTTGGAGAAGTTGTTTCATTCTACGGGTTGTCACGCTTATTGGTTGAGAACGATGTTAGCTTTGACTTTGATAATCAAATAGTGATGTCGTCGGTGAAAATGACATGTAAACTATTTGTTTGGAAGAGTTTGACTATGGAACAACCGAACAAGTATTGTGACTTTACCGTGTGGACACGAGTTTGACGAGGAGTCTTATAGTGTGGTGTGTGAGAAGTCATGCCTGTCCATTTTGTCGACCAATCTCGATTTGCTATTTTACAAAAATCTAAAATATAGAAAATTAGTAGAATCTTAAAAAAAGTTAAGTAGTGATTATATTGGGATTTTAATCGACCTATCTCGATTTGCCATATCACTAATTAACATTTTTTGTCATCTCATTAATTAACATTTTTTAAATTCTACTATTTTCTATATTAATATTTATAAAAAAGGAAAGAAAAAATAATATATACATGTAAAGAAGAAAATTGTAAACTTTTTAAAAACAACTTATGAAAATAAAAAAATGTCAAATTTAGTTATTAGTATATATATAAAAAAAATAATTTCATAATTCGAGTTAAGAAAATTTAAACAAGTGAAATGTAAACTTCTTGAAAACATCATATGAGAATAAGAAAAATCTCAAATTTAGTCAGGAGAATATATAAAAAAGAATTCATCATTAGAATTAGTAAAATTCCCTCATTCTTAAATAATGTAGTTAATTGGAATTGGAAAGATCTTAAAAGACAAATTTAGTTATTAGTACATTTTGTTTTTGGACAACTTGTTATTAGTACATATAAAATGCATTTCATACTTAGAATTAGGAAAATTTAAAGAAGAAAAATGTAAACTTCTTCAAAACATCATATGAAAATAAGAAAAATCTCAAATTTAGTTATTAGAATATATTAAAAATAATTTCATAATTAAAATTATGAAAAATTTCATGATTCTCAAATAATGTAGTTAATTGGAATTGGAAAGAGCATAGAAGACAGGAAAATTATGAAATAATTTATGTAAAAGCTTTTTTTTTTTTAACTTAATATTAGATGAAGAAATATTCTTAATTCTAATGTAGTGATTGAGGGTATTTTAGAAAATTTTGTCGGATATTATTGTTAATAGGAAAGTATTATAATTTATAACAAAAATGTCAAATTTAGTTATTAGTATATATAAAAAAACAGGTCATAATTAGCATTAGGAAAAGAAAAAGTTAAACTTCTTCAAAACACCACATGAAAAATAAGAAAAATCTCAAATTTAGTTATTAGAATATATAACTGGTAGAAATTTGAAGTTGTTTGAACAAAATGAAAGATCATTTTATCACTTTGTGGCGCTTAAAATAATTACAAAAGATATTTGTTAGAAAACATATTGAAAATATTTTATTGTGTAAAACAATGTAATAAAAAATGGGAAATTGTTAAAAATACCCCTTTTGGTGTGCCCCTTTTCAAAAATGCCCCTTTTAGATGTCAATTTTCAAAAATGCCCATTTTTAAATCTGAAATTTTTATAAAGTTTTATTAGGTTTATAAGGTACTTATGGATTGTAACTACTACTTGAAGACTCGATCCAAATATTTATAAGGTTTTATAAGGTGTTTTTACAGGTTTTACAAGTTATTTTAAAGGATTTTTAAGGTTTTTCAAAGGTTTTACAAGATATTTTAAAGGTTTTTAAAGGTATTTAAAATGCATTTATAATGTATTTATAAAGTATTTATAAGATTTTAGATACATAGAAATGTAGTTTGTGTTTGTTTTAATAATATTATATACATATTTGGGTAAGTCTTATATTTTTAAGAGCATTTTTTATAAGGTTTAAAAAAAAGGGTATTTTTGAAAAGTGGCATTGAAAAAGTGGCATTTTTGCAAAAGCCCCATAAAAAATTAAATAAAAGTTTTTTGGCAAGTAATTATCTTGATTTGGAATAGTATCTTTTTATGATAGCATAAAAATTTCTAAACATATAAAGAGTTCCCATTTTGATTATAATCTATATTTACTATGGCATAAAAATGATAATGAAGATAGTAACACCAATATGATATGACTTCAAAGACCAAATTAGTACCAATAGAGGCTAATAAATCAAAATGATTAAAAATACAAATATATTATAACACATAAATTATTGACAATTGTTAATCAACTATATTTTAAATTTATGTTATAGTTTTCTTAGTTGTGTATTTGAAATAGAAATATAGGCTCAATAGTAATTTAAGAAAATTTAGAGACTCAAACGCTATAATACATCATATTTCTAATACGTTTTATACTAAAGTTATTTTATACTAAAATTATCTTCAAAACTTTTATTTTACTATATCAAATTAAATTTTAAACAACATTAATGATACTAAAACTATAAATAAATGAACATTTATGTTTGAAATAATAATTAAAAAACATGATAGTATTTTTGCATTACTGTATGTCAATGTATATTTATATAAATGAAAATTAAGGCCAAAAATATATTAAACTAATCAATAAAAACAAACCCCCGCTAAAAACATTATAGTATTTTTGCATTACTGTATGTCAATGTATATTTATATAAATGAAAATTAAGGCCAAAAATATATTAAACTAATCAATAAAAACAAACCTCCGCGTAGCGGGGGTTAATAACCTAGTTGTCAATATCGAAAGTTCTCTTCAATTAAAACAAATGTACGAAATGAAATAAAAAAATTAGAAGAAAATCTAAAATAATTAATATTTTTAACTTTCCTTTTCAAAAACCCGAATGTTATCTTAAGTATGTGTTTTTGAAAAGAAAAGTTGAAGAAGTTTTAGCAACCGCATTACCAACTTATGTTATGTCGAGCTTCAGACTACCGAAAACAATCACTTCTAAACTTACTAGTGCGGTTGCTAAATTTTGGTGGAGTTCAAATGGAGATTCGAGAGTTACGGAAAATTTGCGGAGAAGGGGAATTGATTGTGATATTGGTTGTGCTAGATGTGGCGAACTAGTGGAAACAATCAATCATACACTCTTTCAGTGCCACTCGGCACGACAGGTTTGGGCACTCTCTCAGATTCCTACAGCAATGGGAATTTTTCCAACGGAGTCTATTTTTGCAAATTTGGACCATTTATTTTGGAGAATACCTTCGGAATTTGACTCTTCAGCCTTTCCATGGATTATCTGGTATATATGGAAAGCAAGGAATGAAAAAATATTTGAAAACATTGATAAAGATCCGTTAGAGGTATTACGGTTAGCGGAAAAAGAAGCACAATTGTGGCAGTCAGCCCAAATTGAGCTTCATCATGAAACTCATAGTACTGCGGAATTGGTTAATCGTTCTCGAGTGGGGAATACTTCACTTGACTCGAATTATTCTGGATATCGTTGCTTTGTAGATGGATCGTGGAAAAAAAGTGATAAGTTCTCCGGTACAGGATGGTTCTGTACATCATCAAACGGAGAGCCGCCAACCATGGGAGCTGCAAATCTTCGTCGAAGTTTATCTCCATTACATACCGAGTTCGAGGCCCTTCTCTGGACGATGAAGTGTATGATTGGTGCAGATAATCAAGAGGTAGAGTTCCTTACAGACTGTTCTGATATGGTGAAGATGGTGTCTTCTCCAACCGAATGGCTGGCGTTTTCAGTGTACTTGGAGGAATTCCAGAGCGACAAGGAAGAATTCTCATCCTTCTCTTTATCTTTAATTTCTCGCAATGCTAATGTAAAAGCGGATCATCTGGCACGAAAAATTCGTACAAAACCGCTTCATATCACATTTGTAAACAACATTCCTTAGGAATGACTCTTTTGAGCTCTAATTAATTTCGGATGACAAAAAAAAAAAAGATTACTTTTTAAAGATTTTCTTCGGTTTGTTTTTATTTTTATTTTGTCTAGTGATATGAATGAAGGAGATAAAATTACAGTGATGCTTTATATTTATCAAATGTATATTTAGTGTTCTAAAATTCGGTCAATACAGCCATATATACAGTTGTTTAACACGGTAACAACTATACGGTCCATATATACGGCGATTATACACCGTATATATGGTAAATTCCGCATATACGGCGCTTTTTTTAGAAAGGCTCAAAAACTAAAATTATGTCAATAATTAATGTTTGGAAAATTCTTCAGTAAGCCCTATATAAGTAAAGATCATAAAAACCCTAAACGGGAAAAGCTCACAGTATCAAAAGAAATGAGGAGAAAAAAAAAGAACCCTAAATTGAAAACCTCCAAAAATGAGAAAACAAAGAGGACGGAAGAGATAAAGAAATCACCAGAGTCTCCTCCTCAGACTCCGACGACGTTTTCTTCGTTGCCGTATGACCTCGCTCTCAATTGTTTGGCTCGTGTCTCGAGATTCTATCAATGGTCTCCAAGATTCCGATCTCTCATGGCTTCCCCTGATCTCGAGGCAACAAGAACTTGCATGGGAATAACAGAGAATTACCTAGTTGTCTGCTTAGACCGTGGTAAGCATAAAGATAGTTGTCGCTGGTTCACACTTGCACCAATTCACAAACAAGAGAAGTTACTTCCCATCCCTTCGTTTCCTTATCTAAATCCAAAATACTCAACTGTTGTCTCAATGGGTTCAGAGATTTACATTATCGGAGGTGATGGTCAAAAGTATGGCAAACGAGTGTTAGTTCTCGATTGTAGATCTCCTTATCAACGGCGTAGACTGTTGGGATACAATCCAAGTCCCACATCGGAAGTTTGATGGGACAATTAATAATATATAAAGGGTTAGGGCCAATCCACTAAGGGCTTGACTGGTTTAAACGCAGCGGTTGCGGTTGCGGTTGCGGGAGTTTGCGGAAGCGGGCGGTTGCAGTTTCAAGCGTTATTTAGCGTTTTGACCGACTGGTTTAGCGGTTGAAAACGGATGCGTTTGCGGGAGATTTACGACTGGTTGATCAGCGGGTACGATAGCGGTTAAACCAAAGTTTACCAAAATAAATTTAATATATGATTACAAAAAATTATAAAACACCGGAAACTATAATTATAAAAAGTATAAAAATTTTAAACATGATTAATTAATGATTAAAAACCATAAATAATTATTCAAATAAATTTTTATATTGAAAACAAAAATAATTATTAATATTAGAAAATTAAAGTTAGATAATTATTATTTTTTTAGAATTAACGTGAATATAAATAAGACATGATAATATATATTTTAATTTATTTATTTTCCTTTTTTAGTTTCTTTCTTTTTTTAAACCAACCGCAACCGCCCACAACCGCAAACGCTTGCGGGAAGGAGCTTTTGAAATCCAGCGATTTCGAGCGGTTCGAAGCGGTGTGGAACGATTTCTGTGATTGGTACCAACCGCTAACAACCGCAACCGACCGCTAACAACCGCTAAGCGGGTGCTAGCGGGAGAACCAATAAAGCCCTAATTGCCAATTGGTTTTTAGTTGGAAGCCCAGAATTAGCCCAAATTTAACATAGACTCCCCAAGATGCGTGTACCTAGAAGAACTCCAGCGGTTGATGTAATCAATGGTAAGATCTATGTGATTGGAGGCTCCATGTCCGATAATATTGACGATTGGGGAGAGGTTTATGACCCAAAGGCACAAACTTGGGAGCCAGTATTGCCCACAACACAAGATCTCACTAGTCAAATGAGTTTGGTTCCAGGTAATAACTTGGTAATGGGTGGCAGAGTTTATAGCATGAATGCTCACTACAGGCTTAGCTTTATAGAAAAAAAATTTGTGATAAAGATAGACAACATGCCGTGTATAATAAGGTTTCAGTTTGGGAAGTTTCTTTGGTGTGATCTAAAAGAAAGTTGGCGGTGGACTATGGTTAAGGGACTCCAAGGACTGCCGAACTTTGAATATATTATTCCGTGTTCCGACGGAAGAGGAAGAAGTGTGACAGTTTGGTGGAAGACAAAGGTGTATCCATCTGAAGGTCCTAATTGGTTTAGGGTAGCTATAACGAATATTTGGTGTGCAGAAATTTCGTTTAAAAGACGCTGTTCAGGAATGCTTTGGGGATTTGTTGAGTGGTCTAAGATTGTGTTTACCTTGGACCAATGTGATTTTTTTCCTTATCCTTTCCTTTTGCAATCTTCTATTGTCACTTATTGGTTGATCATGAGAGGATTTTAGAATTTGTGAGGATTATTTTACAACCTGTTGAGTATTGAAGGTTGTTTTAATTTGATTGTTTTAATTATCAGGACTTTTAATGTTGTTTAGTTTTAATCTTGACATCAAAGCCAGCTCCTTTTACCATGACTTTTTACGGTTACATTTTTTTTTTAGATTGCTGTATTTGAAGATTCGTCATGTGTGATAGCTTGAAGTGCAATAAAATATGGAGAGGGTTCTATAGGATTAGATATGGGAGAGGAACTCTAAAATCTCAATTCTTACATGCAAACATTCTGGTAAGTACTATTAATGAGAGAATAGAATATATTAAAACACTTCAAGCTATGGAAAAGTTAACTCAACTCTCATATTTGGTTGGGTTATTTGCTTGCTTATAAGGGTAGCCAAATGGAAATTCACGACACGACTTTGCGGGAATTAGGGAATGAGATTATTTGTCCTAATTTTAGTCTCATATATAATTTGGTACGGAACTGGAATTGGACATATATATAAGTCGATCCTGATTTTTCAGAAATATATATGTCTTGAACGATTTATAAAGTGTGATAAGAAAACTTTATTTGGAGAAATGCTTTTAGACAAATGGTTAAATGTCCACCTCCACCGGAATTCGACTTCAAGCACCCATATTATTTCGCGTTATAGGGTTTTAGTTATGGCAGTTCAAGCACCCAGTAATAAAAATTTCCCTTAGTTAAAAGTTAAAACAATAAGGAAGAGAAAAAACCCTAAATCGAAAACTTTCCATTAGAAACAGAAGATAAAGAGGACTGAACAAGAGATAAAGAAATCATCAGAGTCTCCTCCGACGACGACATTTTCTTGTGAAGAATTCGTTACCATACTCCAACTTTTTTTTTTTTTTTTTTTTTTGTATTTTAACTTTTAAGGAAACTCCAAAATTTTGGCTCTTCAGTCTTCACATATAAAGAAAATTGTCAAAAAAATTAACTGTTGCGCGGCTACTAGATGAGTTTTTCGAAAAGTAAAAACAAATAAAAACATTAATCAGAATATTACAATATTGTCAATAATGGAAATTTCCCTTAGTTAGTTAAATAAAGGGTCAAAGCATGTACATAAACCCTAAAACGGGAATAGGTCCTAGAATCAGAAGACAATGAGGAAGAGAAAAAACCCTAAATGGAAAACCTTCCAGAAGAAACAAAAGACAATGAGGACGGAACAAGAGATGAATACATCATCAGATTCACCTCTTCCGACGACGTTTTCGTCGTTACCGTACGACCTCGTTCTTTATTGCTTGGCCCGTGTCTCGACACTCTGTCGTCCAACTCTATCTCTCGTCTCCAAACATTTCCGATCTCTCATGGCTTCCCCTGAGCTCGAGGCCACCGGATTCCGCATGGGCCGATCTCTTATGGCTTCCCCTGAGCTAGAGGCCACACGAACCCGCATGGGAATAACAGAGACTTACCTCTGTGTCTGCTTAGACCTGAATAAGCACTACTCTAGTTCTCACTGGTTCACACTTGCACCAATTCCCAAACAAGAGAAATTACAACACAACGTTTCGTTTCCTATGCTATATCCCGAATACTCTACTGTTATCTCAATTGGTTCAGAGATTTACATAATCGGAGGCTTAACTGGTGGAATAACATGATCGTTTAGAGATAGTGTGTTAGTTTTCGATTGTCGAACTAATCAAAAGCGTAGACTCCCCAACATGCGGTTATGTCGAGATACTCCAGCGGTTGATGTTATTGATGGTAAGATAGTATGTAATTGGAGGCACCGAGTCCAATAGTATTGAGGATTGGGGAGAGGTTTATGACCCAAAGACACAAACGTGGGAGCCAGTATTGCCCACAACACTAGATCTCACTAAACAAATGAGTGTTGTTCCAGGTAAATTGGTAATGGGTGGCAAAGTGTATGCCATGAAGGATGGCTACAATCTTCGCTTGATGAAGGATTTTTGCTTGGTGGAGATAGACAACATGTTGTATCAAACACGGGTTTCGAAAGGGATTTTACGTTGGTCTGATCCAAAGAAAAATTTGAGGTCGACTAGGGTTAAGGGACTTGAACGACTGCCGAAATGTACTCATCTTACTTTGTCGGCATATTCTGACTGAGGAAGAAAGAGAGTGACAGTTTGGTGGAAGACGGTGGTGGTGTCTTGCGATCAAAGTCGCTCTTGTACTAAAGAATGTAAGACAAAGATTTGGTGTGCAGAGATTTCGTTTAAGAGACAAGAAGGTCTAGGAGAGCTTTGGGGATATGTTGAATGGTCAAAGAATGTGTTAACCTTACGCAGATGTGACATTCCTAATTCCCGTTTCCTTTTGAATTCTGTCATTGTGACTTATTGATCAATGCGATTTTAGTTTAGTTTTTGAGAGGAGTTAAGGATTTTTGGGGATTATAATACAACATTTTGAGCATTATTGTAAGAGATACTAAACGAAGCTATATTTATGATTTAATGCGATTGTTTTTATTGAACCTTCATTGTTGTTTCTGAGAATTATCATTTCTGTTCCATTTCAATAGCAAAGTCTTATCCCTACGAAGATGTAATTTATGTTTTCGTTTCAATGCCATCGATTATAAGTCTTGTTTCGATTGTTCTTGGCTTCTTGCTACTAAAAAGAGAGTTTCCCGGTTTCGAATACGCAGCTAAATTAAAGAAGCCGGTCATTTTAGTTCAAATGTCTAGTTTCATGACTTTCAGTTTGTTGTATAGAGTTTTGTTTTTGTCTGGCTTCATTTTAGTTCAAATGTCTATTCTTATTAATCCAAATCAAATTCTACTGACAAAAAGACAAGGGAAACAAAAATTATAATGGAAGTACAGATATACTGCTCGATTTGAAGCTACTCATAAGATTATTATATATCTTTATTTATTATTATTATATAACCTTTCAAAAGAAAGATCTTGTTTTTCTTCCAAGGCTCCATTCGGAGCCATTCACAGCCTAAGAAAAATCCAGCGGTGCGTACTATTGGTGTCATTTCCGTCTCTATTTTTAGTCACAACATTTGCGTCTCATTTGTGACCAAAATTAAGTATGAAGTCACTCATCAGTCATGAAATCTTGCAACTACTTTGTAACTACAAATATTAAAAAGGTCACTAATTAGTCACTAAATTTTAATAACTAGTCATTGCTATAACTGAAATTTACCTAGTCTAACACTAATATATGAAAAATAACTAGATTAACTCCCAAACATTGTGGTTAACTAGAATAATCCAACATTTGTGTAAAAAGACGAAATATCCATTTTATGTGCATTTAATGTTTTTAATATCAATTACGGTAAATACGTCTGCGACAGATATAATAAATCTATCGTGATAAGCTTAACCACGATTTTGTAAAACAACTATGTCATATCCTAAAAATCTAAACCACAAGATTTAAGCCTTAAACTGATACTGAAGCTTCAATAGAAATTTGCCAATCAAAGTCTTTAATAATTGACAAAAGCTTAATACTTTAAAAATCAACCACTACAGGGCAAGAATAAATCTGCCATCGTAAGATTCAAAATACAAGTCTGTCATAACATTAAACAAATCTATTGTCTCTATAAAGTTCACTTAAGTAATTTTTTTCTTTCATTATCAATTATACTATCAAACGCCAGAGTTTGAGTAACCTTAGATAAATCTGTCATAACGTAAATTAAATTTTTCATAACATAAAACATATATGTTCCGCCTATAGGTCAATTTAGCAAAAAAAATAATTAAAAAATCTGTTATTAAACACCAGATTTTTGTTAATGTTCAACAAATTTGTCATCACTTAAAACAAATTTGTTATCACTACACTTCATTCCATTTTAAGGGGATTTTTGACTTTTTTTATTCTAACAAAGCAAAATTAAGTATTTTAGGTATGAAAATAACCCAACTACCCCTTACATTTTATGAGGTAGTTTAATAATTAAACTCTTAATTTAAGTTATTATTTAAAGAACAAGATACTAAAATTTCATAATTTTTAAAATTTTATTTTTGACGATCCAGAGCATGTATATGGGTGATACTCATATAGTATCATTAAGATTTTTTTAGTATTATTTATAATGTTTGTTTATTGTTTGAGATTTTATATGATACTCCTACTAAATATGTTTGTATTGGTGAGACCGGTTTAAAAATCATAAAAAAAACAAAAATTTGCAAAATGAAAAATTAATATATTAAACATAAGATTAAAAAGGGTAAATTACAATTAAAAAAAACGTAGAATATACTTAAGCAAAATAAAACAAAAAATTCAAAAAAACTTAAAAAACATGATGATAAAAATAAATAAAAATTCTTACATGATGAGAAACAAAATGATTTTTTTTTTTCCTTTCTATCGATAAAATAATTTCCGCGACCAATCATGGCCTGCCACGTAAGTTGATACTGGGTATCAGAAGTCTCAATGGACTGATACTACTCAGCCCAATTTTATGTGTATGGGCCATTAAAAAATATTAAATGGACTACTGATACTCTCAAAAGTTTAGCTATGTACATGGTCTAAGCTTTTACTCTCATAAATGTTCCATAACATTTACTTTCATTACTTATTAGATTTTATATTTAAGATACATAGATTTTATATGTATTTATAGGTTTTAAAAATAAATTGAATCCCAAGTTATGGATTTTATTTTTAAGATGCATAAATATTATCTATTATAGGTTTTAAAGATTATATTTTCGTGCATGGCACTGGAAACCACACCTACTATAAAAAGAGCGTCCATGAGCCTTGTATAGTTGTATCAGGAAGCAATGAAGAAGGAAGAGATGAAGAAACAAACTGAATCTCCTCCTTCTCCGGAGACGCCGACGTTTTCTTCGTTGCCGTACGACCTCGTTTTCAATTGTTTGGCTCGTGTCCCAAGATTCCATCATCCAACTCTATCTCTCGTCTCCAAGGATCTCCGATCTCTCATGGCTTCCCCTCAGCTTGAGGCCACACGAACCAGAATGGGAATATCAGAGACTTACCTATGTCTATGTGTCTGCAGCTTAGGTAACTACTACGACATTAGTTCTCGCTGGTTCACAGTTGCAACAATTCCCAAACACGAGAAGTTGAAACCTATCCCTTCGTTGTCTTATTTACACCCCCAGTTTTCAAGCCTCCTCACAATTGGTTCAGAGATTTATAATATCGGTGGTTTCTTTAATCTAAAGAAAAGAAAGAAAAGCAAAAGAGTGTTAGTTTTCGATTTTCTAACAAATCAACGGCGTAGACTCCCCAAGATGCGTGTACCTCGAGTAGATCCAGCCGTTGATGTAATCAACGGTAAGATCTATGTGATTGGAGGCACAGGGTCCAATAATATTGAGGATTGGGGAGAGGTTTATGACCCAAAGACACAAATGTGGGAGCCAGTATTGCCCACAACACAAGACCTCACTATTCAAATGAATGTGGTTCCGGGAAGATTTGTGATGGGTGGCAAATTTTATGGCATATGTGGTGACTACAAGCTTCAATCATTGACGGATTTTTGTTTGGTAGAGATAGACAACGTGTTGTACTTAACACGTGTTTACATAGGGATGTTATTTTGGTATGATTTAAAGGAACCTTTGGGGTGGAATAAGGTTAAGGGACTTGACGAACAGCCGAAATTTACTGATCTTACTTCGTTGGCAAGTTCCATCGGCGGAAGAAGAAGAGTGACAGTTTGGTGGAAGACGATAGTGGCTTGCGGTGAAGGTAGCTTTTGTGAAGGGAATTTTTGTAAGGAATGTAAGTCAGAGATTTGGTGTGCAGAGATTTCATTTGAGAGACGAGGCGGTTTAGGTGAGCTTTGGGGATTTGTTGAATGGTCTAAAATTGTGTTAACGTTGGACAGATGTGACTCTCATTCTTTGCGTTTTGATTCTGTTATTTTGACTTATTGATCATTGGGACTTTATCTTAGTTTGTAATTTATATACATCTCTCCTTCTATTTATGTTTTACTATGTCAACATGATCAGTGGCGTAAGACTGTAAACACCATTGATAATGTTGACTTGAACTCTTTTGTATATATAGATGAATAATTTATCCGTCTTTGATTTCAATTCTTGTTTCTTACACAAGATTGTCTTTGAATGTGATTTTGTACTAATACAACAACCAAATAATGACAAATGGAGATCCATTTTAGAATATGATTTGCTCGTAAGTGTGTTTTTATGGCTAAATCTTGCCATAAGGATTAATTGAGACGGAGCTTCCCTTGGATTCCATGAGTGATGTGGAAAGAACCGGAATAATAAACTCATCTTTGAAGGGAAGAATTGTAAAACAGATAAAGTTATTAGTAAGGCTTTGGAGGATGCTAGAAACTGGTTTCTGGCTTAGCAAGTGATGAATAGTAGACGGGAACAACCCAACGCAGCAATATATATAGGTCTTGGCAACCTCCTCCTAGAAGATGGGTAAAATGTTATGTGGCTGCTGTTTGGGTGAAGGCTAAGGCATTGGTTGGTGCAACTAGGGTTTTGAGAGATTGGCTCACAGTGCAGCTAGAACATATGTAATTGCTCATAGTTTTTTTTTTTGTTATTTGAAGTATAAAGGGCAATGTAAATGTTCATAGGTGGGAATGAGCATTAGAGAGTATGAGAAGCGGAGAAGTGGCTAACGCCTAAAGTGATTTTGGAAGATTTTTAGAACAAAAAAGGAAAAATTGGGTACTTTATGAAAAGATTTTAAACTTTTTGATATACGAAATTATACTTCAAAGTATTTGCATCATAATTATATAAGCTAAAACTTAAAAAAAAATTTCCATGAAATTAAAGCCATCGAACAACATTTATGTAGCATATCTTGGTACAATGTGTTTTCTTTCGTCGTACCCTCTACCACACCTGGTGCGAGAGGGACTAGTGATGTCACGGACTCCAACAACGCGATCTCGTCTGATTAGCATTTTAAATTCCTCACATCATCTTTTTGATCTGGAGAAAAAGCCTTGAATCAGAAAGATTTGATGACATGGATCTAGATCCGCTCATAAGTGTTTTTATTTATACAAGAAAATTAAAAAACTTTAGTTGTTTTTCTTTTTGTAATAACAAATAGTCAAATACTAAATTTTTAATGAGACTTTTGACCAAAAAAAAATCTTTAATGAGACTTAACTCTGAGTGAAAAGATTTGGCTTCTGAAATCCACACAAATATAATCATTTTACCAGTCTTTATATTGCTTTCAATTCTTGTTTCTTAGAAAAGATTTTCGTTGAATGTGTACTAGTACAACCACCAAAGATTTTCGTTGGTTGTGGATTTCGGTACACATGTTTTATGTTTAATATGGTGTGCTTCACTGCTTGTAGCCAAAGAGCATGCACACTTTAGATCACCCAAAATTATATATTAAAAACATACTTTAGTTTAGAATATGATTCGGGGTAGGAAAAGCTTGCAATTGTTTTTAGTGAAAATTACTCAGAATGACCCATATATTGTATAAAATAACTAGATTGACTCTGTTTTGAAATAGATAACTAGAATGACTCACATCTTTTGTTAAAAGACTTTCTAATCTGTTTTTAGTTTATATTAACGAAATTGCCATTTTAATTTAATTAGAAAAAACTCACAAAATCAAAACCCAAACGACAAACATAAGTTTACAACTTTTGAGATTCACTTTCTCTCTTCTTCGAGCAAAACCCTAAAAGGGCGAAAAATCTCACGACGTCTCTTCTCCGGTGAGGGTGTCTTCGGGAATTCATCTTCTCCGGCGAGGCCTCGCTTCTTCTTCGTTGCCTGATTTCGTCCACTCGTCTTCTCAAGCGAGTCGTCCGCTCCTCTTCTTTGACGACGGATTTTGTTTCTTCTTCGCGTTGTCTTCTCCGGTGAGTCGTCTTCTCCGGTGAGTCGTCTTCTCCGGCGAATCCTCTTCTCTGGCGAATCTAAAGTGAGTTCTATTATTTTCTCTTGTCTCTTTGGCTTCCCGTTTTAGAGATTTTTAGATTGGTCTCTCTCTGATTCTCAGATGTGATGTTCTACAAAGAGATTATTACTCCTAGGGATCAGTGGACAAATCGCTAGTTCAAATGGTTACGTGATTCGGTTAGTATTACTCTTTTGTTTTGTTTGGTTTCAGCTTACTATGACTACAACATTTTTCAATGATGACAGATTAGTTTCTAGTGGTCGCAGATTTGTTTATTATTGATGACAGATTTATTTGGTAGTGATGACATAGTTGTATTCTAATGAGAACAGATTAGTTTATGATGGTGACGGATTTGTTTGCTTTTAATGACAGATTTGTTCGATTTACATAAGCATTTTTTGTTGATTCAGGCTTATCGCAGATTAATTGTTGTCTTCTGCATATTTATTCTTAGTGGTGGCAGATTTATTCTTAGGTGTATGTTTTGTGAGGTTATTATTTCAGGTTTGTAAACAGTTGCAGGTTTTTGTTAGAGAAGTAGCTCAGTTTTTGGTGTCGATTTAACTTCAATGTTCTTGTTGTTTAGGAACTAAATTTGAGTTAATGAGATTTATGTATGTTGGATTTTGTTTCCAAATTAGTATAACGTGAATAGCTGTGATGATATATGTCTTTATGCAGGAGATGCAAAAGCTTACGTGGTGACATTTATGCAAAAGCTTACGTTGCAAACTTGCAATGGTCGTTGCAAATTTAAGATCCTCAACAAAATCTTTCTAAAGGTGAGCTCTGGCCTAGCTCTCCGACTTGTCTCCGGTTATGCTTCAGCCAAGAAGCAACGACAGAGAAAATGAAACTTAAAGATTCGAAATCCATGTGTACTCAATTCCATACTATTTTGTTTAAGTTTACATTGAATCCGCCTTTTTGTTGCTTCTACTACTATTACATGTAATATTTGTATTTGTTACAAATATGTATTTCTTAAACACACTCCATACGATTCTTAAACCAGTTTCATTAATCAGTTTCGTAGAAACTAAAACACAAACAAAAGCAAAACTTACCAACTTGAGCAATACTAAGACGACAATAGTGACTAACACCAGATCCGGTTGTTCGCTAATTGTCGTTATCTACATGAACCTTAAGTAGAGTCGTAGTTCACCACCATTCTGGAACATATCTAAAGCCACTAGAGAAGGAGATTGAAGGGTAGCTACAAGAAAGAACAAGATCAAAATAGAAAAAAAAAATGAATAATAAAGGCATTTCATGTAAGGGTTTTTGAGGATCACCGGAGCTAAAGGAAATGGCAGCTGGGCAAGAAAAAGGTATGTAACTGAGAATTAGCAAACCAGGAGTCCCTAACAACTGATAGAGCTTTAATCGGAATTAAATACAAAAACTAATGAACATTACTTTCTGGCCAAGTAACTTTTAGAAATGTGTTTAAATATGTGCAAGTCTGAACTAGAAAATAGTTCGAAATAGCTTGTTGAACGCAACGTTTGGGGTTTCAATAGTAATCTGATCGGGATGAACTTTGGTGGAGCACTTTATGGTGCTACTGTCTAAGAATGCAACGGTGGGATTGTGATTAAAACGGTTAATTATTTGTTTGTTTGTATGTTTTAGCTACCTTAAATATTAGTTAAGTGTTTGAAAATAATTATTTTACCTATCAAACAAATCTGCGACGTCTTCAAATAAGTATGCAAACATAAATCTGCAAGTAAAGGGTGGCAACAAATCTGTAAGGTATAAGTCTGTGACTACTAAAAAGTTAGTTTAGTCATGATTAAGTCTGTGGCCATTTATTCAAATATATCTGTTATGATGAAAAATAAATCTGTGACTCAAAATATATCTGCAATCAAAGAAAGAAAATCTGTGATGACTAAGAGTCAATCTAGTTATTATCTTTTGGTCAATCAAATCTGCAATAACTTACAGACTTATCATAAATCGGTAGTAACTATAAATAAGTCTGCTGCAACGAGATTGAGAATAAGTCTGTAAGAAAAACAAATCTGCAGAAATAAATCTGCGAGACAAAGGAAATCTGCGGTGTCCTCAAACAAATCTGTAAGATAAGTCTGTGGTAGACATAAAATCAGTAACAGCCTATAAATCGGTAGTAACCTATGAACAAATCTGTAGATTAAATCTGTCGCGGAAATAAATCTGTAGAACAAATTTGTGGTTCAAAAACAAATCGGCAAGAAAACAAAGCAGCGATAACGATATAATTAAATCGGTGGCAGATTTATAAATCGGTGACAGATTTATGAAATCAGTGGAAGATTTTATAAATCGGTGGCAGATTTTATAAATCGGTGGCAGATTTTTTTCTACAGATTTATTTGAATTCGCATAGATCAGTGGCAGAACTGTAAATAATAACAGGTTTTTTCTGTAAATAACGGTAACTTTTGTCTCGCTGGCATTTTTTTATTAATGGCATTTCTGTTATTATGATTTTCTCTATAAAGCTTTATAGGGGTATTTTGGGGATTAAAAAAAACGAAAACACTCTAGTTATTATTAAAAGATATGAGTCATTCTAGTTATTAATCCCCATATAAGGGTCATTCTAGTTATTCTCCCTTGTTTTTACGTATGCAAGAAACTTAAAAAATAGTATAATTGCTCCTTCTTTTTGTAAATACAAATATCACTAAACTTTAATGAGACTTAAGAAGTCACTTTAATTTTCAAACCAAAAAAAAGAAGTCACTTTAATTTTTTTAAATGTAATAGTTTTTTTTTCTATTTTACAATAGATATCATGGAATAATATGGAAATTTTAAATTTATAGATATAATTTTGTTCAAAATAGTTTTTTTTTGAGAATTTCTAATTCCGTTCTATTTTCAAACGGGAAATATTGTCTCCTATGAAAATGTAAATATCTGTTTTCGTTCCAATTCAGTTGATTGTAAGTCTTGTTTTGATTGTTCAAGACTTGTTGTTACTAGAAAAGAGAGTTCTCCAAGTTCCAGATAAGCAGATATTGGCTTCATGCCATCTCCATCAATTGGTCGTAATGCATTTTATGCATAACCATATGGTCATATATGGAAATTTGGGATGAGGAATGAAATTTTATATAAAAACATATAATATATGTGTAGATTTTGGTTATATTTATTTATCTCCGAT